TTAAAAAAAAAAATTCCTTTAAAAAAAAAAAAAACAAAAAAACTTAGAGTTGTGTTAGTGTATAAAGAACACTGAGATATTTTCATGTTCACTTATCAATTGATGGCATAAGAATGACCCATATAATTTTTTAATGATCTTTTAAAAGCTTTCTACCATTGTACTATACTACAAACTTTTAAATTTATTTCTTACCATGTCAGGTGCTCAGATTTTTTTAATAATGGGAAAGAATACTAGGCTTGGGATACAGTTGCACTGGCAAATGAACACAAAGTTCATTTTTCTAGAACATGTTGCAGCTATTATATGAATCTGAAGAGAAGGTTTTCTTTATCAGTTTTTGTCACTTTGTCCTATTCTTTTGGAAGATGTTGACATTTGGTGTAAACAGTGCCCCACCGTTCACTAATTTCTACAGTGGCAAAGCACAGAATGAGCCACTGTGATGTCAGCACTGAAAGATAAATGCTGCTTGCTTGTGTTTGTAGGCGTGAGTGACAGGCCCCACACCTCACAGCCCTGCCATTACACACAGCTCCCTTCAGCCTGGATGGCTGGCTGATTCCCACCCAGCTAGGCCTTCTTTCATTTATTCTTTGGAACTACCTAGGGGTCCAGGCATTCATTATGATGAATCACTCAGGCAGAAAATATGATATTTGAGCACATTTACTGGACCAAGAATTCTGAGGTGATGGAACCTTGGAGATACCTAAGGCACAGCTCCAACCTTACGGTATTTATCGTCTGACAGGAGCTAAGACCTGACAGAAACTAAGAGTTACAGAGCACTTTAACACAAGATAAAAGCACAGAAGGGAATTATGGTGCTGTGGGATTGAGGCAATAGTACTTAAAAGTTAGGGCTCTGCCATCAGAATGCTTGGGTTTAAATACTGCCCCACCATTCACTAGGTGTGTGAACTTGAGCAAGTGTCTTAGCAATTCTGGGCCTTGGTTTTAACAGCTGTAAAATGGGATGACTACTACTATTCCCCATTGATACAATCCATGAGGACTGGTTTAGTTCATGTAGAGGGAGCTCCTCAAATATTGCCTAGCAAGGGGAAAGACTACATGTATCAGTCGTTGTTAGTAGCAGTAGTAGAAGTTACAATACTCCTTGTCATAGAAATTATAGCAAGTTTAGGGAATTCTTATGCTGTGGACTTATGGGGACATACTTAGGATGACCTTGCCTGCTTATGAAAACCACGTTGGAACATTGAACATATTTTAAAATAAAATATTGGACATATTTTAAAATGAGCAATACTATCCTTTTGGCATAAATGTGGAGGCCGGCCTTATATGAGTGGGGCCCCATAATAGCCACGTAAATAGGCAGGCCTCAGCCGCTACAGATGGCCCAACCAGAATGTGGTGTCCCAGACAATAGAGGCAACCAATAAGATAGATGTTCATCATGATGTCTAAGCTAAAGTTTCAGAGACCTCTTCCAGCTGGGATACCAATCACATCTCCGGCCAAGCGTGCAAACAGTAGGGATTAACTGTGCTGCACTTAAAGCGGTGCTGAAAGTCTAGCAGTAAGAGAAATTAATTTCCATGTCCCAGATGCCTTAGCTTACATGCCCCTACATCATGCAGAAATTTTAATATGAAGTGTTGCTATTTACAAGTAATAATAAATTATGCCCAGTAGGGGGCGTGTTTACAAGCAACAGGCACAGCCTTAGGACCATGTCCTGCAAAGCTGTGGAAGCTGTCTCCCACTGACCCTTGGACACACTTGGAAAGTACAGCTGCATTTAGCATGTGGCTCATGATTTAGTATATTCCCATTGTGCGCCCAACTATAGATTCAGCAGATGGATGTCATCGTAAAAGCGATGCATTCTTATGGGTTGCTGAAACCTTTGGTTCCCTTCATCTGGACCCTGGCCATCACTAAGCCCACAGGCTGCTGTTTCAAGACAGAAGCATTTCAGTACTGGAAGAGCCCACAAATCTCCCTTCTCGAGTGAGCTTTAGCCCAGGGAGCTCAAAGGTCTCTTTGCAGATAGACAACACACCCGTGGAAATTTTTGAGACACAGAGCAATTAAAATGGATCTCTTTTTGAGACTTCTGTGTCTCACGTTCTTAAAGCTCTGTGCAAACATTATTTTCGTAGGCCTAAAAGTAAGGGAATCACATTGCATTGGAAAAATTGTTATTATAGCTCTTAATCAGAAAAGGATTTAAAGGTGGCCAGTGCAGGTATTTGACCAATGATACAACAGCTCTCCAAGGATTAAGTGTGAAGTGTCTTCTGCCCAATTTATGTACCTTCCGTCAGAAAATGGATCTTAACTAATACCCTGTTTTTAATAAACATTCATTAAGCATTTACTCAGAAAAAAATTGTTTGCTTCCTTAGAATTTTTTTCTTGAGACAGGACATTTGGGACGACTCGTGTTTATTTAAAAAGACGATCAACATTAGTTCCCTAAAGTAAATGTATTTGTGGCAAACAGAGGCTGTCAGAGCCTCCCTACAGTGGAGCTAGAGATGTGGGAAGGAGGGGCCTATGTGCAGACGCCTTAGGTTCAGGAACAGAACAAAGAACTTGGGTTTGATCCCCCCTCTACCACTTGGAGTAAGTGTAAGTTCAGCCTCGGTTTCTTCATCTGCAAAAGAAGGCAAAGGGTTCTGCTGCTGACAGCATGGTCCTGAGGGAGGGCTAATTAAAACGCCACCGGGGGGAAAGGCTTTGTAAATGACAAAGTGCTGCTGAAAGGAAAGGAGTTAGTTACTAAAGTTGCCCGGCACATCCCTAGTTTACGGTGAGCTGCTCGATGGCAGGAAGGCAGGAGCCCACAGTGCGCTGCTACCTTTCCCCGCTAGGTGGCAGGCGAGGCGCCTGGTAAATGCCCACCGGGCCCGCGCTCTGAAAACCACAGTGGCGTCGTGGCTTGCGAGGCGGTGCAGCCGTGGGCAGAGGTGAATTAGGCACCGGGAAAATTCAAGACGGCCTGCATTGTGAAGACAAATGGCGTTCAAGTGCCACTGGCTGGCAGGTCACTACGATTTTAACGTTGTGTTTCCTTTTGACGCTGAGGAGAAGGTCAGCTAAACAAATAATTTGTGCAAATAAGGAAAACGTTTAGTGCAGAGTTAGCGCTAACGGACTTAACGGTTATTTACAAGAGCACTTTACAAGCGATGGTTTCATCTCGGTCAGGGGACTGCCCGCGGCCTCAGCCAAGGGCGGTAGTAAATATTCCGGCTTTGGGGATTGGTGCGTCTCAGCCGAACCACAGAAACTGGCCTTTGCTGCCTGCAAACAGGATGGCGGCGTTATAAGAAAACCTTATTTGGGGCCTCCCCGGTGGCGCCTCGGTTGAGCGCTGGGCTGCGAAGCTGCCTGCAGCCTCTGCGGCGCCAGTTCGATCCCCGGCTGCTCCCCGGCCACGGGAGGAGGGTCCCACATGGCGCGCAGACCTCTCCTGCCGCCCGCTGCTCCCCTCAGCAGTGCACTTCGGTCCTTCTGCCTGCTCTGCTCCCCGCTCTGGCTCTGGTGAATCCTCTCACCCTCCCGCGCTTCTGACTGTACCCAGTGCATGGATAAATAAATAAATAAATAAATTTAGAAGAAAAGAAAACCTTATTTATGGATGGAAACATAAAATTCCTTTTACGTTTTCCTTAGGATTCTTTTCAGTCTTTAAAAAATGTAAAAACTTTTCATGGTTTAAAAACCCTACGCGGAATGGCCACAGGCCTGATGTAGCCCCCAGTGAGTTTTCCAATCCCCGGATTGTCGTCCTCACCGTCCAACTGACAATATCAAGACTCTCCTCCTGCTTTCATTCTAAATATTTCACTGAATGTCGTATGTTTGTGTGAGAGCATCCTCGTGACATTTTTTGCTTGTCAATACAGACATGGGTGTTGTTTTGTGAGGCTAGAAACTAAACAATCCAAAGAGTCGTTGCGTCGTTGTCAGGAAAACAAAGGCATCGAGTCGCGCTTGAATTTCAAGTAGACAACGAATCATGCTTTGGTGTGTATGTGTCCATATTCCGCACAGCATCTAAAGGCTTCCTTCATCTGAGATTCGGTTTGCGCTGCCTGCCCTGTGCTGCCACTTGCTAACCCTGCCGTTCCTGCTTGTGCTCGTCACTCTTCAATTGCTGAGGCCTCACAAATAACCAGAGACCAGGGCACCAGGACTGCTCAGGTCGATAGTCCTCAGAGCTTGGGGGGGGGGGGGGACACAGGTTATCTCTGTGGTGGACAGCCGGGGGCACGAACAGAGGGTTTCATATGCATTTCCCGGCAGGAGGGCCTTGGTCCTGGGAGCACGCACTCTTCCCTGGAAAGCGTCTTCTGAGGCGAGATATGAACCCCGAAGCCACCCTTGCAGAGCGCTTGCAGAGCACCTCAGAAATGTCAGATCTTTTAAAGGGCGGTGTGGGCACGACAACGGCCAACTCAGACTGGTGTTCTGGGGGTGGCCGCCAGAAAGCCCACCTAGAAACACTTCCTTAGCCGCGGGTGGGGATTGCCAGCGCGCCCTGGTGGCAAGGGGCGAAGCTCCAGGAGGAGGGCGGTAGGGTGCGCGCTGCGGACTCGCTAAGTGTGTCTTCCCGCCGGAGGGGCCGCCGGCCAGGCCGATCGGAGGCCCCGGCGAGGTCCCCGGACGCCTCGGACCTTGAGCTGGGGAACCGAGTGTGTGGGCCTCGCGAGGAGCGGGTGGGGCGGGGGGCGGGGGCGGGCAGGGGAACGGAGGGCGTGTTCCGATGCCCACTCCCCAGCAGACGGGGAGAGCCTGCGCGCGGCCCCCTCCCTGGCCCAGCCCGGCACTCCGGCGCGCAGCGGGCGCACCCGCAGAGGGCAGCGCGGGCGCTGGGGAGTCGGCGCCCAGGGGCGCCCCCTGGGGGCCCGCCTCTCCCTGAGCAGCGGGCGCACACACGCGGCGCTCCAGGGCCCTGCCTCCCAGCCGGCGCCTCGCGAGGACCCGGCGCGTCCTGCCCCGGGGGAACCCATCGCGCCCCGGGGCCCGCGGGGAAGACGCGGTGCCGCAGCGCCTGGAAGCAGGTAAGCGGCAGCCTGGGGCTCCCCGCTGCGTCCCCTCGCGGCCTGCGCCAACGACCCGCGGGGCGCCCGCCCGAGCGCACCTCTAGGCAGCCCCCGCGGCGGCTCGGGCTCCCGCGCCTTCTCCAGGCGGCCTTCCACCCTTTCTCGAGCTTACCTCACGCCATTCCCCGGGGCCCCGGCCTGGCCCAGGCCACAGGGAGTGACGGGTCACCGCGGGCGCTCAGTGCGCACCGAGAAGTTGGGTGAGCACGACTCCGTGGTGAGGCAGCAGCCTTAAAATGCCAAGTGCATGCACAGAAGGCCATGAGGAGCCACGGGGAACATGTGAAGTGACTGTGCGCCCGGCCCCGACGTGCCGCTCCCCTCGGCATGCATTTTCGTGCTCTTGGAGTACATTTAACCGAGCAGGGGATTTCCGCTTCTTTCTATGGCATTACATGCCATTTTCCATGGAGTCTCAACCAAATTGCATTCCCACCAACAGGATTGGTGTCCCAGGATTCCTTTTTCTCCAGTCTTCGCCATTTGTTGTTTCGTCTGTCTCAGAGGGGTGAGATGCTGGCTCACTGTGAGGATGGGCATTTTCATGTGCCTGTACACCATCTGGATGTCCTACTGGGAGAAGTGTCTAGGTCTTTTGCCCATTTCTTTTTTTTTTTTGACTGCATTGTTGGCTTTTTGTTCCTGAGATGTATGAGGTCATGACCCTGGTAAGCAGGTTTATTTACTTGAGTCAGTAAGGTGAGCCCTGGGGAGTCACAAGGCATTACCCCCTCCCCGTCCCCAGCAGGAGCAAGGCTTCCCCTTTGAAGCACTAAGTGAGGGTGGCGGGGTGGGCAAGCTGGTCCTCAGCTAGGTCAGAGCATGTCCCAGGGGCCAGGGAGGCGCCTGCGCACTGGCCCAGCAGGCCTGCACATAGGAGCTTGTTAAAACTGGCTGCAGGGCTTCTCCTCGAGGTGGGATTGCAGCGTGATCATGGGGGGTTGGGCCTCAGGGAGCTCTTCCTGCAGCAGGAGCTGGCTGGCTGGATCTGGTTCCCGGTGGGTACATTTGTAGCAAGTTCTGGAACACCAAGAACTTCTGCAGAGGTGGTTTATTGGGTGGGGGGGATTCTTTGAACTTTTGACCTGCCTGCTCCCTGGTTATGCATTTTTTAAACGTTTGGGCGGTAAATCCTTGCAAAACTAAACAAGCGGGACTACATCAAACTCAAAAGCTTCTGTATCTCAAAAGAAAGCACCACAAAAACAGGCAGCCTACAGCCTGGGAGAAGGTACCTGCTGGCACCAAGTCGCCAAGGGGTTAATTTGCAAACTGTATGAAGAACTCAAGCACCTTTAATGAGGATCCCAGGCAGTCTTCCTGCGCAGCTCCCCTACCTTACCTCATTTAACGCCCAGCAGGCGGCCAGACGACTTTGCTAGGCAAAAGGACTTTCGAATGTCATTATCCCCTGGAATCATTTTATATTTTGCTTTTGTATTGTTTGCTGCCCTTCTGGTAAAGAAAGGGGTCAAACGGCCCCCACCCCAGGTTTGGAAGACGGTGCCCATGTACTTCTTTCAAGTTGGGGTGTGACCAGCCACTGGATCTCTGATAGCTGATTTCCTTAAAAGATTTTCTAAATGTCTTAGGCAGGCTAGTGAAAATGAGGTAATGAGGAAAAACAAATGGGAAGGGGAGATCAGGAAACTTCTTCACATTTGTTTGCCTTTTATTTATAAAAAATTGGAGGTGGGAGACGCTTTGGGCTTGGTCAGTCTCCCAAAAGGTGAGGGAGAAAGGAAATCTGTTGGCGTCCGTGGCCATTACTGGCCTGCTAAGACGAATTTGCTTTCCATGGGGGCCTATTAAGTCTTCATTCCGCCGAGCTTGAAAGGGGAGGAAACTGGGAGGTGCAGGTGTTGCGGGGCTGAGCTAGCGGGCGCGGGCCCTACAACCTGGGCCTTGCGTTCTCTTCCCGCCGGCTTTTAGCTGCTTCACGCTGTAGCCAGCAGAGGGCACGGTTGCCACGCACGCCATTTTGACACCTGAGGGGAGACTTTTCAGAGCTGAAAAACAAATACTTCAATCCAGTAAGAAATACACACGATTTCCACGAAACTTTAATGTGAAAAATAGATTATTATTAGGAACTTATGGTTGTCTATTTGATTAATGGCCCATCGAACCATAGACGGAAAGTGAAAAGATTTCGTAACTGCCTTTGTTATCCAAAGATGAAAATAGTAATGGTAAAATAACAGTGTGATAATAAATATCAGCATGATAGCCCTAAATCGTTTGGGATACACCTAGGACTTTTTCTCCTAGGAATGTGTATGCCCAGACCTGGTAACAGGGATGAATGTGTCCGATTTTATCCTAGATGTTTGCATTTGTTACTCATTGTAACATACACCCTTTCTTAATATCAAGACAAGTACACGTAACTCCGTCCCGCCAGAGGCTTCTAGCATCTGACATCCTCAGTGATTTGCCTCAATAGATTTTTTTTCAATTTTGTTTTCCACTATCCACTTGAAACTTTCTCTGTTTCAGCCTCATTTTATCTAACCCCCACATTTACCCAGCCCTCTCCTGCCTCCACCTCTGCCCCCACCTCCTTGTCCTTGCCTCTTTCCTGCACACTGAAAATCCTACCCATTCTTCAAGGTCCGATTCAAATGCTGACCCTTTTGTGTGTGTGGCCTGCAGTTCTTATTTCCCCGACTATAAGCATTTTTGCAGTAAAATGAGAACGTGTTCTGTTCCAGATGCCATCAAGGCTTTCACAAACAATTACAAGTATAGGAAAAGTGATTGTGTTAATGGAAAACACATAATGAAACTTGGGAACGCAGATGGCCCCACAGTGAAATGTCTTAAAGGGTGTCATCAGAGCTCACCTGGGAGAGAGGATATCCAGAATGCTGATCAAGAGTGCTTCTGTGCCAGTCAGAGGAAGCAGGGAAAACTTCCTGTAAGAGGTGGTCCTGAGGTTAATAAAATCTGGATGAATCAAATAGCCCCTTACATTGCTGACATTTAGGTTCCAGGGGCTGAGGGGAAGAGGTAGAGAAAGGTAAGGCAAGGAAAGTCAGCGAGCACATCCTACAGAAGGAAGTTGGATTTGATTCAGTAAGTCATGGGGGACTCATGGGAGCACTGGAAAGTGGGGAAGCATTAAATCAGGTCCTAGTGGAAAGGTTGCTCTGCAGGTGGTGTGGTTAATGGGCTTGAACGTGAGGAAGCTGACTTTAGGAAGCCACACCATTGTTCAGATGAGTAATGAGAGGGGCCTGAACAGAGTAGACAGTAGGAGTGGACAGTCTGCAGCTCTTAGGGAGCGTGTGACTTTCCAATTTACGTGGTATAGTGTTTCTCTCCCCTAGAAAACTATAAGTTTCTTTTTAAAAACTTTATTTATATTTTACATCATTGTTCACTTCTGTACAGTGTATGTTTTCTCCTCTCAGGTGTAGTCATCGTAAAATTCCCACCACCAAGTCACCTGTAAACTGGCACCATAGTCCCGTGTACTCCTCCCTCCCCTGTTTTGATCCCTCTTCTTCCCCCTCCCCTGAAGAATATCTCTGATTTACACTTGCCTCTTAATTTTATTCATTTATCATTTTTTTCCTGATCCCTTATTTGGTTCTCCTATATTCCTGCTATAAGTGAAACCATACGATATTTTTCTTTTTCTTTCTGGCTGATTTCACTGAGCATGATCCCTTCCAGCTCCATCCATGTGGCTGCAAATGGCATGAGTTTATCTTTTTTGATTGTTGAATAGTATTCCGTTGTGTATAAGCCACATCTTCTTGATCCAGTCATCTGTTTTTGGACATTTGGGTTACTTCCATATCATACCTATTGTAAATAGTGCTGCAGTAAACATAGGGGTGCGTTAATGTTTTTGGGTCCTTTGAGTAGATTCCTAGAAGTGGAATTGCTGGGCCATATGGTAGCTCCATTTTTAGTAGTTTGAGGAACCGCCACACAGCTCTCCATGGTGGTTGGCCCAGGAAAACTAAGTTTCTTGAGATCAGGGTGTATGCTCAATGTTTTTATTCCCTAGACCACATGGCCTCATACCTGGGAAGCTCTCTGTCAGGAAGAATGAATGTCAGGAATTTTGGAGCTTGAGAGTTTCCTTTTGAAATGTTACCTTAATCCTCTTTGACCTCAGAAGTCACTTGAATGATATCTTTGTTTATCCTATAAGTTAATGTGTTGTTGAGTAGTTTATATATTTTGAAAAAGAAGTGGCATGTCTTACGGAAAGCCACCTTTGGTTACTATTTCTGGATATTATACTTGAATACGTTCAAAAATTCTGATGGTCTGTGTTTTTTGAGCATGTCACCGGAGCGTGCATGAGTTTGTAGAATTTTGAAGGGGTAAATGATAACTCCACGCAGTGTGTATAAAAGCAAACCCCGGGCTTCCCCTGGTGGCGCAGCGGTTGAGTGCTGGGCTGCAAAGCTCCTCGGCAGTGCCGGTTCGATCTCTGGCCACGGGGCAAGGGTCCCACATGGCGCGCAGACCTTTCCTACCGCCCGCTGCTCCCCTCAGCAGTGTACTTCGGTCCTTCTGCCTGCTCTGCTTCCCGCTCTGGCTCTGGTGAATTCTCTCACCCTCCCGTGCTTCTGACTGTACCCAGTGCTTGTATAAATAAATAAATAAATCTTAAAAAAAAAAACTTAAAAAAAAAGCAAACCCCTTAAGACTAAATGTCCTTTCCTAATAGAAATTGCTGTGGCATTTTTGCTCTCACATGGGCAGCATTTAGAAAAATTCATTGTTCCTCTTGGTTGAAATGATGACAGAAAAAATATCCCGAGGTCCCCATGCCTTTGGTGCTCTTGAGAAGCATGCACGCATTGCGCAGCCAGCCAGGCCTCGCTTCTCCTTCCTTACAGGAAAGGAAGAACCCACCACACTCTCAACCCTGCAGATAAACAGCAAAGGTACTTTGGAACAGAGCCTGTAGGAGAGATACACTTGATGACACCATTATTTATTATAATTTAAATTTTTTTGGATAGCATCCCGACAGCTTCCTATCTCTGTATGGCTTGCCGACTGAAAGGTATTACAGGAAATTTCTTTTCAAGATTTTATTCTTCACACTAACTTGGGTCCCGCAAGTGACATCCTTCACAAGGTCAGAGAACAGGATGATACTCTGAGCCCAAGTGAATTTTATGGGTAGAAGTACATTCGATCGTTTGAAAGTTGGTTGAATGATGTTTCACCGCTGGATGCAGGTGAGCAGCTGTAAAGGCAGGAACTGGACCACAGGGCAGGTGTTCTGATCCCATGCAGACCGGGTAAAGGAGGAGCCAGAGTCCTCAGTAGTTTTGCAGGTTTTTTATTTGGGGTTCACCAGGCATATGGCAGGCAGGGGTGCTGGCTGGGGGGCTGGAAGGCTGACAGGCCTCCCAGCCCCCAGCAAGTCTTCACTCTATCTGGGCTCTCTGGAGTTCGTTCTGCTGCTTCTCGGCTTCGCTTTCGGCTTCGGCTTCAGCTTCGGCTTCGGCTTCGGCTTCTACTGCTGCTTCTGCTTCTGCTTCTGCTGCTTCTGCTGCTGGCGTCCCCGTGACGCCGCCCTTAAAAAAAAGCACAGTCTTAGCTCAGCTGAATCCCATCTACCTATGCCCACACCCTATTCCAGGTGCCCGCCATCAGGCATGCATTCAGGACAAGGATCCATCATCTATCCTGATGGCAGAAGGGCAGAAAAGCCTGATATTTTCTTTACCCTACAGCAGCTAAGTCGTCATTCTTCCTGTCCAGGCTTGTTAGTGTTTCATGCTGTTGACAGTTTGTGCATTTCCTCAATCTCCATCCCTTGTATGGTATGGAAAAGTATTATTAGTATTATGAAAGTGAAATGTCCCCAGTTGGTTCCAGTATAATTGCTATAAATCTTAGGTTCAAATTTGGTAGAGAAAAAGAAGACTCTCAAATCGAGGTTCTTACCTTGGAAATTGATATTGGGATTGAGGCTTTGTAATGCCTCAGTTAACTTAAAATGAGAAAAGGATGTCATTTTATGTGATTTTCCTCCAATGATCAGCTCTTAAGTTCTTGTGTTTAACCAGAAAAGTCACGATGCATATGTGGTAGTGCCTAAAATGTAGCCACAAAACAGGAGACCGTTACCCGTTACTTTACGCATACATGTGCACACACACACAAATTTATTCATATGGATTTAGTAATTGTCAACACTTTCCCATAAAGCAGATGACTGGATTGTGTGTATACTTGCTTCCGTTCTCACCTTCCAAAGGTGACTAGCTATTGGCTTATTATCAGTTTCCCTATTTACCTAATAGTCAATAGTAATCACCTAAACCCGTCTTAACAGCCAGCTCATACTCAGATTTCTCCAGGTGTGCCCAAACTGTATTTATTAACAATCAAGGAAACCATTCTCAGCAGATCATAGACCTGAGAATTTTTTTTTTTTTTATTGAATCTTTTGTATGTTTTTTATTTCATTGACTCATGGTCATACATTGTATGTCTAATTCTGTATATTTATATGTCATTTCTTTTTTTTTTTTTTATAAATTTTATTGTTACATTCCCCATACAATTGCCGCCCCCCATTCTGACCCCAATCCCTCCCCTCCAGCCCCCGCCCCCCTAAAAGTGTCTCTGGTTCATAGTTTTTTGTTGATTTTGATTTTCACTTTCTTATAGTTTTTCATTTTCCTGGTCCATTATTTAAGTTTTCTAGATTCCTGCTATGAGTGAGACCATCCGGTATTTTTCTTTTTCTTTTTGGCTTATTTCGCTGAGCATGATCCCTTCCAGCGCCATCCATGTTGCAGCAAATTGCATGTGTTTATCTTTTTTGAATGCTGAGTAATAGTCCATGGTGTATATGTACCACATCTTCTTGATCCAGTCATCTATTTTGGGCATTTGGGTTGTTTCCAAAGCTTAGCTATTGTAAACAGTGCTGCTATAAACATAGGGGTGCAGGTGTTCTTTGGAATTGATGTTTCTGTGTCCTTTGGGTAAATACCTAGGAGTGGAATTGCTGGGTCATATGGAAGCTCTATGTTTAGTAGGTCCAGAAATCTCCACACAGCTTTCCACAGTGGTTGGACCAGTTTGCACTCCCACCAACAGTGCAGAAGAGTTCCTTTTTCTCCACACCCTCGCCAACATTTGTTGTTGCTAGTTTTTTTAATATGTGCCATTCTCACTGGTGTAAGATGGTATCTCATGGTAGTTTTGATTTGCATTTCCCTGATGACAAGTGATGTTGAACATTTTTTCATATGCCTGTTGGCCATTTGCATTTCCTCTTCAGAGAAGTTTCTTTTAAGCTCTTCTGCCCATTTTTTGACTGGATTATTTTCTTTGTTGTTGTTGAGTCTCATCAGCTCTTTGCAGATTTTTGTGATCAGTCCTTTATCATTAGTGTTGGGTGCAAAAATGTTCTCCCAGTTGGTGGGGTTTCTCTTTGTTTTTGTTATTGTCTCTTTTGCTGTGCAAAAGCTCTTTAATTTGATATAGTCCCAGCTGTTTATCTTTGCCTTCACTATCACTGCTTTGGGTGATGTGTCTGTAAAGATGTCTTTGATGTGCAAATCACGTAGTGTTTCGCCTATATTTCCTTCTATATATTTTATGGTTTCAGTAGACCTGAGAATTTGCTCCTGTCACTCAGTTGACCTAAGTTAGGAGTAGAGTACAGTGCTCAAGCCAGAAGCTGCATAGTAATTATTTATTTATTTGGAAACTTTCCACTTCTCAAGATGTACTCTCCTCAGGAGAAATTGAGGGATGAACTTGAGCCCCCAGTTTGGCCATGTGACCACCAGAACCCCGAGATCCTCATTAGAACAGACTAGAAACACCACCGGCCACCCTTGGAGGTAGATAGTTATTCCAACACCATTTATGAAGTTATCTGTTCTTTCCTAAATACCTTCAGATAATACCTCATAACTCTAAAAATGCTGAAAGAAAATATGTGGGCTTATTTTTACTATCTTCCAGGGAGGAAGGCTTTTCAAAGTGAACATCAAACACTTAACTACAAAAATAGTTGAAATGTCTTTATGACAAAAGATAAAATAAATAAAATTAAACAGTTAACAACAGGCTTGGAGAAAATTGTTTGCAGCAAAGAATTAAAATGTTCTCTAATATGAAAAAAGTGCCTAGAAATCAGTAAGAAAAAATGAAAAAGTGGGAAAAAGACATGCTCAGACAATTTAAAGATGAAGAAATAGAAATGGCTTACCATATGGAAAGATGATTAAAGAAATGAAAAAGAAAATAAAAATGAGGTACCTTGTTATTCACCTTCTGCTTGGCGCAAATTACCGTGTTGGTAATACTTCCTGTCGGGGAACATATGGAAAGAAGGGATTCGCACCCACTGTTAGTGAGTATGCAAATTGTTATAGCCTGGGTAAGGGTAATTTGGCATAAATTATTATTATTATTCCAAATTTCTGTTCTCTTCATTGGCTTATAAGCTGCTTATGACTGCATTTCGTGTTTTTATGTCTGCTTTCTCCTAGATGTTGAAGTTATGCTTCTCATCTCAGCCTGACCTTGACACCTGAGTGCTGTGACCCCTTCAAAATTGCAACAACAACAAAACAAAACCAAAAAGAAAGTCCTGGCAATTCGTTCTCATACAAAACAAAATTTGAGTTTGCCTCATCTGCACCTTGGAGAGTTTCACAACAATATGCAGAGTCAGGTCACCCTCATGCTGTCTTGCTCTCCCATGTGACAGGATCACCCCTGGGGGTGCTGCCTTCTCCCCTTTTTGTTCTGCCTGCTTCCCTCTGCAACCGTCTATCACACATGTGTCATCATACAAAGGCTGCTTTGCTCTTTTTATTTGTCCTGCCAGTGTTTTTGCTTACATTACATCACACCATTGTGTACCCTTCAGTGATAGAAAACTTTCAATAATTTTAAATTTGGTAAGAATGGCATCCCAGGAGAAAAGCAAACAGGTGGATGATAGCAGTGCAAGAGTGAAGAGGGTAAGAAAGGTGATGTCTATCGCCAACAAAATGAGAGTTCTCGAAATGCTGGACACTGGTGAAACCAATAGCTCCGTAGGGCGTTTTTTTGGTGTCAATGAATCTACAATTCGTACGATAAAGAAAAATGAGAAAGCAATTCGAGCCAGTGCCTCGAGGGGTACACCAGAGTCCTTGAAAAAATCATACTTTACCCGAAATGCCACCTTAGAAAACATGGAAAGAGAATTGCATCTGTGGCTTCTAAATCAGAGAAGTCTGAATAACCCTCTCTCTGTATGCGTCATCCGCCAGCGAGCATCAGAAAACTGCCAGTTTCAATTTCGATCTGGACCAAAACTTCTCACGTTCATTGCAAGTAATGGGTGGTTGGATAGATTTAAGAAACGCTATGGTCTGTATGAAAAGAAGTGGCTGGCAGATGAAGCAGATCGCGAAGCTGCGGCAAAGTACCCTGAATACCTGAAGCAGGTGATAGAGGAGAATGGCTACGCGCCCCAACAGGTCTTCAATGCTGACGAGATGGTATTCTTCTGGAAGCGCATGCCCACTCGCACCTCTATTGCCAAGGAAGAGAAAAACAGCAAAGGTTTCAAGCCTGGAAAAGACAAGCTCAAAGTCCTGCTTTGTTCGAATGCTTCTGGTGACTTTCTGATTAAACCCATGTTGCTTCACAGACACGGGAATCCTTGTCCTCTTAAAAGACAATGCCAGAAACACGTTTCCGTCTTCATGAGGGGAAACAATAAAATATGGATCACCGAGAAACTCTTTTTGGACTGGTTTTTGAAGTGTTTTGTTCCGCAGGTTAAAGTATATTTAAAAGAAAAAAACCTGGAGTTCAAAGTGTTGCTGATCCTGGACACGGCTCCCACTGACAAAAGCACCATAGTCCGTGCTAATCCGCACGTTAAGGTCATTTCCATCCCCCCCAATACAACCTCACTCCTTCAACCCATGCATCTGGGCGTGCTCAAAATGTTAATGATTTACTACACTCGACATGTTTTTGACTACATTGCAGGTCTTATGAAAGAGACTCCAGAACTTACAGTGAAAGAAGCTTGGCAAAAGTTCTCCGTCTGCGATGCTTTAACCATAGTCGACGAATCAGCGAGAGAAATAAAACAGTCGACCCTGAATGGTGCCTGGTGGAAACTTTGGTGTGAGGTTGTAACTGATTCCCAGAGTGTCATTCCGGTGGTAGAAGAAATTGAGAATGTGGTAGCATCCGCAAAACGTTTAGGTGGTGAAGGATTTGAAGACATCGAGTCCAGTGACATTGCTGAGCTCTTGGATTCCCATCCTCAGAAGGTAGCTGAGAAATATTTCAAAGAATTGGTCACAGCAAAAGTTGATAAAAAAGCTCAGCATAGGTTAGTATCTGAAACACTAAACATGTCAAAGCTCCCACCCCACCAACCACATTGCTGTGAGGATTCAGAGGACAAAGATGATTCCAAGGAATATTTACCTCCGCACAGGCAAGGCTTACATGATTACCCCCAGCCCTATAAAATAGTAACAAGAAACCTTAGAGCCAAGGCCAGTAAGTCTTTCCTCTCTGCTTGCTTCAACAGGGAAGAAGAAGCTGGGCCAGCAGACAGTGAGGTCCGAACCCATGCCACTAAGGACTCGCCGGAAGACCACGCACCGGCAGCCCCTCCGAGTGATCCCAACTCCGGCACCCTGGCTGATGCTTGTGAGGCTGGAAATGGAGCAGAAGACTGAGCTCGCTTGTCTTCAGACAAAATCCACTTTCTCCATTCTGTCCTTTACCACTGTTGATGCGTGATTGTCTTCTCATTAAGATCAGAGAGTAATAGAAAGTAATTACCCGATGAGCACTATTGCTATTGTAAAATACCATCCAGATTCACTTGGGGTTTTATTTCAGTAAACAGACCAATTTTCTGGGCTTTCATAATAGTTCCTTCCCTGCCCCAGTTCTTCCTCAAGCCTCATCAGTTCCCCAACACAGATTCCTCTACATGAGGATTTCGGGAACTCGACAACCCAGGGAGAGGGTGCTCTACTTGTTTTGACAATTTGATTTTGTGTTCTCTTTTCTGAGATCTATTTTAAATTTTCATTTACATGTTTCAGTCTGACTTTCCATTCCAACAGGGAGAATCAAAACCTTTTCCTTTTCACTTGTATAAGTTCATTTGTTTGACAGCCATGGTGTAAGGGAGCTCTTGGTGGCTCTGGAAAGGCAGCACATATTTACTTTGTTACCTAATCAAGGCAGAGAAACTGCTAGTTTATTTCTAGAGCTTTCTTTTCTCATCTCTGGTCTTCTCAGTGATTTGAAAAGTTGAATATCTTACAGGAAAGAGACGGGGACATTTCCTCCTCCTAAGGGTGGTGAAAATACAGTGATTCCTTGCTTTCCCCAGCCTGGAGTTGTGAATAATAAGCTACCTGTAGCTTGAGTTTGAAGTGCTCAGAGATAGGAAAAAAATAAGGTGGTTAAAAGGGCTTGCTTGCATAGTTAAATGGGGGTGCCAGATGTTCCCTGAGAAGTTTGAAGATTGGAAAACCCAGCGTAAAGGACTGTAGCTCTAGAAACTTACCAGTGCCATAGCAGCTCACGCTCCCCCTGATCCTGTGTTTCGCAGTGCTGACTGCCCAGCAAACCTTGCTGGGGAGCTCTGAAAAATACAGATTTTGAGACCTGTCCATAGACACCATGAATCAAGGATGGGGCACCATCTTTGTGTTTTGAAAGCTCCTTAATTGATTTTGTTCCTACACCTATGATTGCAAGCTACTGTTCTAGACAGTTATAATAGACAATATAATACACATGGTAGTGGACCCAGGAATTAGGAAACCTTGATTCTAAGTTTCTGCTCTTCCGCCAATTCAGTAGATGACCTTATTAGATCACTACTCTTCCTTTCCTGTCAAAGGAGAGTAGGTCCTTCTATCTTTGACATTGTCACTTTGAGAGAAAGATACATCAACCTCACTGGTTGACTTTGAGAGTACCTAACTCCTTCCTAGAGACCAAGGTAAGTAGCACGCCTCTGTATGCTGTTGCTGTTGTTTTGAAAATGGTGTTTGTAGTTCAATGTGTACCTTGGTTTAGTCCCTCCCAGAAGAGAGAGTTGGGCATAGATGCCATATAAAAGTTTGAGGGTTGAGGTGGGGGGGCAAGCATAGCATCAGTGTCCTAAAAGGGTGATAGGGATACCACCTGAGTTTCTTTGTATAATTGTTTTTTCTCAAGTTACATTGTATGGGGAGAATCATAATTCATAGTTATTGTGGGTAAAATGCGTTACCATTTTGTTGACTGTTTCCGTAAGTCAGAGCAGAGGACTCTGGTTACTGTTTCAACTTTCCATGGGTAAACAGTATATTCTTACCCATTTCTAGAGGTAAATATTTGGAAGTTAGTGATCTTTGACCAGTATAATCAGTGGTCCAATATGCCTTTAAAGAATGTGCTTTTCTGATAATTTTACCACTCATTGAGATTACTGTTTTGGCATTTTGTTCTCTTTCTTCGCCCAGAGTTAGGTAAATCAAATTTTAACTTGAATACATTAACCAGGAACTCCTAAAACATAATACAATTGTGGTAGGAATGCCAACATTTTGGTTTGATCGATGGAAACATATGTATAGGCCCAGGGTCATTTGAAATAAAATATTGGGATAAACATAATTCTTGTTTTAAGGTAAGATCTAGTTAAAGTGACGAAGGAATATCATCAATGAGGGTGAAGGGTAGAACATTTTGATGTGCTTGAGTTTAACAAGTCAGCAGAATTTACTGGAGGATGTACAAGTGTGGTACTGGTTAACTGGTAGAAATAGAAGTTAACACTGCTGTGTAAATGGGTACTTCTTTTTTTTTTTTAAGAATAACTCCCAAATTTGAAAAGCTGAAGTTTTTCGAGTATGTTTTATGCACAGTTTGAGTGGAAATAATCTTTCTGTTGTCAAATGGTTCAGGTAAAATCTTGTGGTCAGTATTATAAAGTACGTGGAAAGTTCCTTCTTTCCAGTCATAATTTAACCACAGTCAAAAAATGAAAAAGGGCAGCTCAGGTTGCTGAAATTTGTTGAAAATATTAGAAAACTGGTATATTTTAAAAGAAACTTTGTTTAAAATCTTTCAAGTTCAAAATGCAGAGAAGGTTCTCAACTACACATTTGAGTTCTGTGGCTACCACCACATGGCAGCTAATAAGGGGCTCTGGTATGTTTAGTCAGAACGATCTTGTGGACCATGCTTGTGCTGTGAAATCCATCAATTGCTGAATTTTAAAAAATATTCCTTCTTAACAGTTTTTGATGTCAGTGTGTTGTGGTTGTTTTAAGAATTCAGAAATAAATGTTGTGTGCTATGAACAGACTATATATATGTTTTGGGGAATCATAAAATAAAAAAAAGAAAAAGTGCATTTCATTAACACAAATAAATACTGAGAAATTAAACATGAATCGATGTGCTTGAGACATTGCTTTTTTGCAGTGTCTTCTGGCATAAAACCACACACACCGAAAGATACAATGAACCCACCTAGAATTGGCTCTTGATTAATTGGCGGTGGTACGATGAGCACCGTAATGAGAACTTTGCCATTGGTTTCTTCTTTGTCCTGGGCTAGGGACTCCCTCCTTTTGGGTGAGTGATATTTTGTCTCAGCAGGATAACCCCTGAGCTATTGGGGTTGAAAGAAGTCAGCATGTAACCTGGATTTTGGAATCCTGTCTCTGTCAGATATCAGCTTTGTCACTGTGGGCAGGTTTTTAAACTTGGGTTTCTAATCTGTAAAATGGGTAAAAAAATACCTACATCATAGGATTGCTATGAGGTTATATGAAATGTTTAGTACAGTGCCTGGCTCATAGTAAATGCTTAAATAATTGTTGCTATTATTATTGTCATTAGATTATAGAATTGGAATATGATTGTTAAGTCCTGTCTTTGCAAAATCTTAGTATTTTTATATTTATCTAATTTCCCTTAAAATAAGGTATGCATGGTGGTCTTAAGAGAGAAGGAAGAGCAATTGAGTTTTAATATTTTTATTTGTTTGCTTGTAGAGAAACCTGAAACAATAACTCCTTCGTCCTTATGTTACTTCTATGCTGTATCTATAATGTGGTTATCATTGCATAATATTTTTTATATTGTGGTTAGAGGTAATAACCTCTTTTTCCACACGGGCGAATTCCTATTCTGTAAAAAATAATATAGCTACTTAGTTCCACTTTTAAAATAATTAAGTCACTCCATGTTATAGGAGCTAAAGATAAACTATATAGGACCTGCTTTGCTTAAACTCCAAAGTTATTAGCTGCCTTTGAGAGAAACTGTATGTCTATGTAATCTTACTAGATAAGGACGATCTTCATAACAAACTTCTGAAATTCTTTGTATTTCATGTGTTCTCTGATGGCCTTTTAGAAGTTTGAAAGAGTGGTATTCAGAAGGCTGAGCATTCACCAGCGCTCTAGTGCTGCATCACCCAAGCAGCAGAACTTTCTCTGCCTGAATTCGGGCCCCACTGCTACCTAGCCTGGAGGATTGGCGTGGTCATAACTCACAGCCCAACCCTTCAAGTACTTCAGCTTGGAGTCTTCTGTGTTCTCGTGTGTATTTCTAATCTTCTTTGCCGCTCGGCACCTAGCTTCTTGACCAACATTCTTGTGTATGGCTCTGATTCTGATATTTCCTTGTTCAAAAAAATCTTCAGTGGCACCTTGTCTATATATTCCAACACTCAACCTTTAAATCACGGACCAGTCCCACTGTACCTTGACCAGTTTTGTCTGCCAGTGTTCTTCATAATATACATGTAATGTATATGCCTCATGATGTACACGTGTTATATGTGTGATAGACTCTGGCCTCCTCAGCCTTACCTAAGTACTAAGGATCTTTGACCTGTAGCTCAACCCCGATTTCTTAATCCCTTTATTTTGTCTCTGATAGATAAAATAAAAAAAAAAAATTAGACTTATTACCTGAAGCTATTGTACCTGAGCTGAGCCTGCCAAGCTATAATTCCCTGCCTGTTCTCCATCATTGCACATACCTACAGTTAGCTCTTGATTAGCTGGCAGTTGTATGATGAGCACCAGAATGAGAACAATGTGGGACTTAAAATGAGCACCTTGCTACTGGCTTCTTATCTGCCCAATCTGGACCAGGGGAGCTCCCTCTCATTGGGTGAGTGGTGCTTAGACATGGCAGGATAACCCCAGTCTGTAGAGGAGGGGTGAGTTTTTCCTCTGATTTTCTTCTTAAGCTTTCACTCTACTAAAGTAGGACGTCTTCATTGAACCCTCGCTCCCATGGCTAGGACCCTGAATCCTACCCGATTAATTTTGACTGAATACAAATCTCCTTGTTTGGGCCCCTGAAACAGCTGGTGATCTAAATTCCATTCTTAGATTCTTGCCAGCCTCATCTGAGTTTCATCACATTCATTGTATCTTTATTTAACATCCGGCTTCAAATTCCTATTTGCTCTCTTCCTGGCTTTGGATGTAATTTAGTTTACCATATTCTCAATTTGGCAGCTAGAGCTGCACATGGCAAACTAAGGTTCTTGAGCCATAACCACCCCAACTTTTTCTTTTAAAAAATAAAGTAATGCTCGTATTGGTTATGGCTATATTACAATGGTACAGTGGAGTAGTTGTGAAAAAGACCTGATGGCATACAAAACTAAACTTATACTCTCTGATCCTTTACAGAAAATGTTTGCTGACCCTTACCTAAAGCTAAGTGTTTCCTCTTATCTCGATACTGCTTATTTGATAATGTCTCATTCCCATCCAGTACAGATGTAGCAGACCAGTTTATCAAGACTATGGAGATAAGGTTCCAACCCACCCAAACTACTTAAATTTCTGTTTCCTCTTAGTCATTTTCATAAAATGTCCTGTCTTGTGTTTTTTTTTCCTTTTAGTGCAAGAGATTCCATGGTGATAGACTATTAGAGTAGCCTTATGTGTCTTTTAATGTAACATCAGGTCCTAATATGAAAGTCTTTCAACATCATCAATATTTTTTAACATGTACTTCCAGTTTTTCTAAGGTTATGCCTTTCAGTTCTTCATTGTCTGTTAATATCAGGTTCTCTGAGCTCCATAGCTTCCAACATCTCCAATTGGCAGATCTTCTAAATGTTAGAGTATTTACATCTTCCAGTCTCTGACCTGCAACATTTCCAATGCTATTTTCATCTTCCAAACAGTCGGTGAAAGTCTAGGTCTTCCAATATATCTGACAGTTTTTTGTCTTTCATGGTCCAGAGTTCTAATTGTCAGTCCTTCTGTGTTCCCAATCTTCCGATGTTGCCTATACATAGGTCTTTGGGAGTTATGTATTTAATTGTGTCCAAGTCCAATATTTTCTGGTACTTACATCATTCATCTCCTACAGCTTTTAATGTCTCCTAAATCCTGATTTTTACAATGTCTTGTTACCACTAGTTCTTCCGATGCCCAAGTCTTTCAGTCAATTATCTCTAAGAACCTGATTTTCCAAAAGTCAGGTATCCCAACATCCCCAATGTCTGAATGACTTAGTCTCTTAACATCCTGATCTCTTAATCTGTGTTTCCCAAAGTCCTGCCAACATCCTTGACTTCTAGCATCATGAAAATGACATCTTCCAAATTCTGTGTTTTAACATGAATATGTCAACATCCAGGTTTTCCAATGTCCCCCAATATCCAGGGGATTCTGACCTAAGATTTTAAATGTCTAGATCTTCTGTTGTCCGTATTGTCCTATCATTAGGGTTTCCAGGTAAAGGACTTGCAGTATTTCTAGTGTGCAGGGATTACAGTATCCATGGCTTCTAGTATCCATGAATTCCAACATTCAAGGCCTCCAAAATTGCCAATGTCCAGAATAACCAATGTCTTCAAAATCCAAGGCTTCCAATGTCTCCAACACCCTGTGCTTCCAATGTCTCCTATGTCCAGGGTTTCCAATGGCACCAGTCTTCCAGCAACTCCAGGTCTTCCAGCAACTCCAAGTCTTCCAGCATCTTCAAGATCTTCCAGCTAATCCCAGTCTTCCAGAAAATCCACATCTTCCGGACAATCCATGTCTTCCTGACAATCCACATCTTCCAGTAAATTTAGTCTTCCAGCAATTATAGGTCTTCCACAAAATCCGTATCTTCCAGGAAAATCCACGTCTTCCAGAAAGTCCATGTCTTCCGATGATTTCAAGGTCTTCCAGACAGTCCACGTCTTCCACCGATTTCAAGGTCTTCCACATCTTTCGGAAAAGTCTGTGTCTTCCATGTAATCCACGTCTTCCAACAATATAAAGGTCTTCCACATCTGGAAAAATCTGTGTCTTCCAAAAAATCTACGCCTTCCAATGATTTCAAGGTCTTCCACATCTTCTGGAAAAATCTGTCTTCCATACAATCCACGTCTTCCAACGATTTCAAAGTCTTCCACATATTTTGGAAAAATCCATGTCTTCCACTAAATCCAAGTCTTCCAACAATTTCAAGGTCTTCCACATCTTCCAGGAAAATCTGTGTCTTCCATCAAATCCAGGTCTTCCAGCCAATATATATCTTCCAGAAAAATCCAGGTCTTCCATGCAATCAATGTCTTCCAGAAAGAAATCCAGGTCTTCCATTCAGTCCATGTCTTCCAGAAAAATCTACGTCTTCCTCCAAATCCAGATCTTCCGGTCAATCCACATCTTCCAGACAAAAATCTGTGTCTTCCACTAAATTCAGGTCTTCCGGTAAAGCCACGTCTTCCAGAAAATTCATGTCTTCCACTAAATCAAGGTCTTCCAGCAAGTATATGGCTTCCTGGAGATCCACAGTTTCCAGAAAATCCATGTCTTCCAGTAATGTCCAGGTCTTCCAACAAATCTATGTCTTCCAAGCAATCCAGGTCTTCCGGACAATTCGGGTCTTCCTGAAAATCTACTGTCTTCCAGAAAAACCATGTCTTCCAGGAAATCCATGTCTTCCAATGACCTCCAGGTCTTCCAGCCTATCCACGTCTTCCTGAAAATCCATGTCTTCCATAAAATCCACGACTTCCAGGACATTCGTCTTCCAGCCTACCCGCGTCTTCCAGAAAATCTACGTCTTCCAGAAAAATCCGTCTTCCTACACCTCCAGGTCTTCCAGCATCTCCAGGGCTTCCAGCATCTGCTCGTCTTCCAGCATCTGCTCGTCTTCCAGCATCTGCTCGTCTTCCAGCATGTGCAACGTCTTCCAGCATCTCCATGTCTTCCAGCATCTTGGCGTCTTCCAACAGTTACCCAGTCTTCCAACAGCGGGCTCAATATCCACGTCTTCCAACGTCTCCAGTGTGCCAGTCTTCTAACATTCAGGTCTTCCAGTGTCTACAATATCCAGGTATTCTAACATGTTCCGTAGTCCAGGTCTTTTGACTTTTCCCCAGATCTAGCCATTTTCAAAACTAGTCTTCCCACATTCAAACATTTCCATGATCAGATCTTTTCAAAGATAGGTTTCTAACTCAAAAAATTCCTGTTTATATTAGAAATTGCTTCAAAAAATTTAATAAGGCGTTCTTTCTTATAGACCCAATCTTATAGATCAACTAAAAGTTTTTAATAGTTTTTAAAATAGTTTTTTTTTGCTATTAGGAAATGTGTATTTATTCTTTACAACTTTTAAACCTAACATTTATAATATAGTTTCTACAGAATAAATACACAGAATTACTGTGATAAATGTTGCCATTTTGCTAATATGTCAAGTTTTTATACAGTCAGCTATGTTTAGGTGCAGATTTTTATTTCAATGAGAAAAATTCTTGTTTAGAGACTTGCATTTTTGATCATGTTAACATAGTGCACACATTTTTGTAATATCATTTTTATTTGTTTGATCTTATGTGATTATATGGTAATAATAACAACACTAACAGCATTTGCTATGTCCAGGCACTGTTATAAGGTCCTTACATGTATCAACTCATTTTATCTTCACAAGAACCCATCGAGGTAGTCCTATCATTAACCCCATTTACAGATGAGAAAACTGGTACACTGAGGTGAAGTAACTTGTCCAAAAGACAAAGCTGATCAAATATAGCACTGGACTTGAACCCAGCTAGCCTATCTCCAGAATCCATGATCCTGAGCACTAAGCTATAACATGTACTGCTGAAAATTAAAATGATAATTACTGGGTCGAAATCTTAACTGCTCGTATTTTATGCATATAATGTTACCAGATCTTATACACAAATGTTGTCACTTTGCCTTGTTGCTTTCAGAATCTATTTGTAGTCACAGACTTTATTCCTCAACTAGCTACTGTCATTCCATTGCCTGTATATATGGAACTAGGTACAAGTACTTCCTAATACCATTTTCAGTTTTGGCAGAAATAACAAAGGAGCTCTGAGTTCACATACACTTTGATTTAGAATCATATTCTTAGCTCCATGCTTTGAGTTCTAGTGCATGGAAATTATCTCCTCCCATCTTAACCCTTTATCACTGACCCTTCTCTAGCCTGTATCTTACTATCAAGACCACTTAGCATTAGTTTGTTTTCTGACCCCATGGATCCACCTGCTTCAAATAATCACTGATCTCCTGGATTACTGACCATTCCTACCTTGTGTCCAACTAATGGTAACTACAACTCTTAATTCCCAGCATGCCCACCTAGAGAAATAACTGCGTTCTAAGTCTCAGCTCCTGTCAGGTGCTTCCAGGGATGCTGATACCCATGCCTCTGGCTGACATGACAAGCATTAAAGGCACATAATAAAATTATGGTTAGACAAGGACTTGCTAAAGGTTTAGTATCATCCACACGGTAATGAAAATGAGTAGTAAAAACAAAAATAGAAATACCTTCCAAATGTGTAATTATTTAGTTTATAAAGTGCTGTCACTTCATTCATTCACTCATTCATTCATTTCTTTCACAAATATTTGTTGAATGCCAACTGTGTGCCAGGCATATGTTATGGAGTTTAAAATTATATGGGGGAAACAGACAATGTACAAGTAATTAGGCAATTATTTATCAGTGGTAATTATTTCTCATAAAGGAAAAGTATGTATGGGAATCTGTGGGTGTCTGGAAAGTTAAAGGAAAGAATTCCTAAAGAAGTAACATTTATTGCGACTGAAGGTTCTATTTTCTCATTTGATTATCACCACGGCCCTTGTGACTTAGATAAGACATATGCTTTTACATTAGTTTTTCTTAATCAGAGGTTTAAAACAAGTAGAAAAATGGGTGTGGAATCCACATATTTTGACTTCTTTGTCTGATTCCTTGCTGCTTTAAAATACATAGTAAGTACAGTTTTGGCAGTATATGTCAAGGTACATAAAAATGTTGGTAATTTTTAACTTAATGTTTTTTCATGTCAAGGAAATTATCTAAAATGAAGGTAATTCAAGTACAAAGTTGTTTCTCACAATTACTTGGTACAGTGAAAATCAGAAAAATCTAAGGGTCTAACTTTGAGGGCATAAATAAGTGTGCTAATTCCACTTGATGGAATATTCTTCCATTAAAACATTCATGGTATGTTTATAGTATATAATGTTTATCAGCATACAAAATTTATAAACATGAGATTGCAATTATTTCAGATATATAATCAAAGACAAATGACTAAAATTAAATACATTGAAGTTTGTGAACTAATTTTATCTCTGTGGGAAGGATTATGTGTGATTTTAATTTTATATACAGTGAAATTATTTAGGAATAAAACAGGAAAAAACAATTGTGTATGAAAGTTCATCATTCCTCTTTTTATTATTCATGTAGCCAAGTTTTACTGTTGAAAACACTTCAAATATTAGTAAACAAAATGAAAAAATAAAAATATCACAGTCAATATTCAGGTAATCACTGTAAAGTTTTGTTTGGTATAGGTTCTTTCATACTATTTCACAGATATGTATATGTTCCTTTACGAAATGGAATCGTACTGCCATTGAAGTTATTTTTCCCACTATCAATAAATGTATGTCATCTGCTATTGGTGGGCAGTAAGTTCTAACCTAAAAAAAAAAAAAAAAAAAAAAAAAAAAAAATCCCCTGAAGTGCCTAGTACCTAAATCCCCTGAAGTGCCTAGTACCTTTACGTGACATATCAAGAACTGACTTTCCCATCAAGAACTGACTCTGATACAAAGTTTTGCATTTATCTTCTCTGTAGGCATCATAATAAAATTGTCCTAGGTCTGTGGGTTTCCCAGGTACACAATCATGTCGATTGTAAATAATGAGACATTCGTCTTTTCCTTGCTAATGTTTGTAACTGATTTTTTTCCTTTTAGCACTTTGGTGAAGATTTTAGGACTCCCAGAACAATGCAGGTTTATGTTGATTAATAAAAAGCAGTTATCCTTTTGTTCTTGACTTTAATAGAAATGCCTCATTGTTTCATTCTAACATATGATTATGATTGTTTCTGATACTCTTTTTCAAGTTAATGGAAATGCCCTTCTATTCCTGATTCTTGGTTGACTTATGGTTCTGTCAAGAATGGATGTGGAGTGTCATCAAATGCTTTTTCTGCCCTCTGCCTAGATGAAAATACGGTTATTCTCTTTACTCCATGAATGAAGTTAGTTCCATGAATAGATTTCCTAATGTTGAACTGTTCTTTCATTTTTTTGAATAAAACTGACATAATTTAGCTATGTGGATATTTCATTTAGGATATAAAACTATATTAACACATGTCTGGAGTCTTCCTCCTCACATTTTCACGTCATGGCACCCCGGGGAGGGGGGCAATGGCTGAGATAGCTCAGGGCAGAGGCTATTGGCTTCCCAAGCTCCGCCTGGCTGCCCTCAAGGGGTCAGGAGCTGCACATCCATTACACATGAAGAGCAGCACAGCACACAAAAGTGCCAAAGCACACTTGTCGGGAAACTCATTTATTTTTCTTTTGTGTGATGCATTTTTCCTTATTTGATATCATAACTGTTACCCTTGTGAATGAACTTGAATTCTCCACTCCCCTTTACAGTTTAAGTAACTTAGATACAGCTGTTCCCTTGAGCAGTTGGTGACACTCAACCCTGAAACCATTTGTCTCAACCCAAACCGCTTGTGGGAGGGTGGAAGATGTAGTAAATCCTCTTTTCATTTCTTTGATGATTAGTACAGCCAAGGTTTTCACCTCTCCCTGGGTCAATTTATGTCAATATGTCTGTAAACTCTCCTGTTTAACCTGCATTTTCAAATGTATTGCTTGACAGGCATACATAGTAATTTCCAGTGTGTGTGAATTTGCATTTATGTGGCTATATCCTTGCAGACTTTTTTCTTGATAGGAACTTTCTGTAGGTTTTTTAGTTTATTTTTAGTGAACTATTGAAAATATTTTGTAAAATAACACTTTTTGTTTTTGTTAAGTTTCTCCTTGCTTTTTTAAATCTCTAGATGATTTAGGTGAATGCTCAGCTTATTTTTCAAGCTTCCTTATTTTCTGTTTCATCTATGAAAATTATGAATTTTCCTGTGACTACATATACAACTAGTAGGACTGTATCCCCCAGTTTTCACATAAGTTGTTGTTACAGACATTCTTTTGTCACCTTAACAATAGTTTGGTTTGTTTTCCGTGTTATTTTTTTACACATTTAGTTATTTACTTTTTATTAGTTAATTTTTTTCATACATTGTGTAGTCCCCATATGTTTTCCTTTTTAACCCAAGAGTTTTTTAAAAGTGAATTTCTATATTTTGACATGGTTACATTTTAGTTGTTCTGCTTTTCTATTCTTGTTTTTCTTTATGCTACTTATACTGGCTTCCCTGGATAATATTTCCTATATGAGTTACACATTTTAGAATATTTTCTTTGTGTTCTCAAATTTTAAAAAAAATATTCCAAGGGCAATTGAATGGCAAATGTGTATTGTTTTTGTTCTGATAATTTATATTTCTAGACATTAAATCAAACGTGTTATTCATATTTTAAAATCCCTTTATCCCTTGAAGTGTTTTCTGATAATAGTGTGTAAATTCTTCCACTTTGTTTTATCACAGTCTCCTATTTTTAACCTTTAGTTTTCCACATTTGAAATTCTTTTTCAGCACATTAAATTTCATGGTTGTCTTATTGGATTGTGTTAATTAATAAAATGATACCTTCTTTGACACATTCTTCACTACCTCTACTTCATTTTTGTTAGCATTTTCTAAACTGTCTGCGTTCCAACATTTTTAACTTTTTGTGTGGTTTTGTTTTACATGTACTTTTTTCAAAACAGCAGATGAGATTTTTTACTCCATCTGAGAACATTGCCATTGAATGCATGAATTAAGCTTTTCACATTTACTGTACTATAATATTTATTACTTTTTGTATGTGCTCTTCTATGGTGATTTAAGAGTTTTTAAAAAAATCACTTCTGTTTTAATAGTGGTTTCATTTATATGTGTGTGTGTACATATATATATATATATATGGATATTTTACCTTACACATTTGTATGTATAATGTCTTTTAAGTGGCATATAGCACGTTTGTAATAATAAAAAAAACATGTTTTAAACGAGTCTAGTATTCATTTCCTTCTAGTCTTACTCTGGCTCAGGCTTTTTCTAGATTTTTGTATTTTTCCTTCCACCAAAGTTTTAATCCCTCACTACTGTCCATCCTGTTTGTTACCAGAGGATCTCCTTAAATTATTTCCTTCACATCACTCAATTCCTAATTAAATCTAAACATCTATACCTGACATCTGTCTTCCATAACCTTCCCTCCATAATCATTGTTGTGTTTGCCTGTGGACAGTCTATAGTCCGAGTCCTACCCAACCAGTCTCGATACTTATCTTAAGAGATAAATTATTCTTCTGTCCTAATAGTTTGCCATTAGGAAAGACCTGCATCTTTAGGGAGCAGAAACATCCTGCTCATAAAGCCTCTGTGGTGCCTAGGATCTGGGAAATGTGGAGGTGTCTGCATAGGATGGGGTCCCACACTTGTAAACTCACTGCTGCGTTGTACCACCATCTTCCTATAGGTGGCGCTAATGTCATGCTGAAAGCGCACCAAATTCTGTGCCTTCATTCGGAACCAAGCTTGGCATCAAAAAAGTCTGACCTCATTTGCAATATGAAATATGAGGATGAGCCCAGTGACTTGTGCCATATCTGCCCACAAGCTCCCAGTAGCTGCGAAAGTGCACAGATCTGATTTAAAATCCAGACTCACGTGGTCCTATACAGAGCTTGAGGACTGCAGTCACATCTGCATTTTATGTAACTTGTTTTTTGCTCGCTTTTGTTGTTCCTTCTAAGCATCGTCATGGACTACTTTGGGCCTTTATTAGACTTCTCTAGTTTCAGGGGACCAAATCACTTTACAACATTCACATTTTCACAGACCAGTTTGAGGGTGGGGGGCGGATTTTACCTTGTTCTATTCACATCTTTGGAAGTGTCCTTGCTTCCTCACAAGAACAGGATGTCCCAGGCCTATTTTAAAGTATGCTACTTTCTGGGACCTCGTTTTTTTTTTTTTTTTTTGTCCTCATTTGAATGGAAACTTTAAGAAATTTTTTTTTTTAAATTTTAAAGTGTGGTAGGCACTTAAAAATATGGATAAATGAATGGAAGAAAATGAAAATTACTTATAATTTGATATCAAGGACAACTTCCATTCATGATTTTTGTACAGAATATATCTGTATCTGTCTCTATTGATCTACCAATCTTCCTATGGCCACAATAATAGATTGAGACATTAACCAATTTTATTGTAAAATTGATCAAAATATACAGACAGTGCACCCATCTTAAGTGCACAAATCCACCTGCTCTGATCAACTAACCAAACCTGTGCCTGGAAACTGAACATTGCGAAGACTGGTGTCCATCCCGTGCATTTAACTGTCTCCTAGGCCCTTTATCACAAGTAGCTAGTTTTCCAACAGCATGTCATGGGGGAAGGGAGGTGGGAACCTCGTTTTTTTAGTGAAAAATGAAGAGACCAACTAGGATGACAGGAGTGGGAATTATGAGTGCTACATATAACGGTATATAGGCTAAGTAAGGTGGCTACTCTCTACTTACATGATGGATCAAAAGGATTACTTTTTTTCATAACCACTTATATTTATCATGCAATTTTTCTTTTTTTTTTTGTTACCAGTGTTTTTCTCCTTTTTCTACTGACTTTATTCTATCATGCTATGTGTTATGAAACCATACCTTGTGTTCAAATTAGTGTTGCCCTCACTCCCAATGTTGCAGTCTTTTTTTTTTTTTTAAATATTATTAGCTTATATTTCTTTAAAATGGCCAGAAAATGTAGCCAATGTCAGGTTTCGTTGAATTTTTATGCAGAAAATTCAGCTGGGATTCTTTCTCTACACCTGTATAAATTAGTTTTGTTTACCATAAGCAGCCAGATATATCACCAGAAATTTCAGACAACAAACTTGAATTACAATTTTATGTCCACAATTACTTGCCCTCCTTTTTCTCACCTTTCCCCCATGCCCACTAATCCTTTACATAGTTTTGAAACCAGGGCCCACAGCATGGGCAGCGAGGCATGACTGAAATTTTCCCACCATGGACTAAGCAGCAAGTGCCTGTAGGAAAAGCACCCCCTGGGCCAGACATTGGTGCCTCTGGGCAGCCCCTGCTGTGGGGAGTTTGAGCGCAAAGCCCAAGGGGACTTTCCTGGTGGCAGCCTCTGGGCAGCACCCAGGCCCTGGTCCAGCAGCCTCCGGGACACTGCACAGAGGCCTGGCACTGGCGGGGCCTGATGAACAGGCTCTGGCCTGTTTATATTTGGCACCTGGGTAGTAGGAAGGACCCAGGAGGTGCGAGCTAAATGAACCAATCGCATTCATCAGCTCATTAGCTAATTATTCAGTGCCAGATGGGCCGACTGGTCCTAAAATGGTCTGAATGGTCACTTAGAATTGAAAATGGTCCAATCAGGCAGGTACCAATTAAGAGTGGGGGGACCGGAAAGAGGCTAGGAGACAGGGGAGGAGCCACCAACTTGGGAAGCTGAGATGCCCATTTTGTTCCTGGCCTCAGAAAGAAGAGAGAAAAGGCATCTAGCAGTCGACCTCCGAAGACAGGAGCCAAATTGCTTCTCAGTGCAGAGGCAGGTGCACCTGCCTCTAGCCTTGCTGCTGCCACCACCTGAAAAGAGCACCTTCTGATTAGTGGGAGGGTGCACAGAAAAGGGACCAGGCAAGTCTGGTACAAAGGAGCAATATCAAAGTACAAATCAATATAATGGCCTCCATTGTTAGCTTCCGCACGTGTCTCTCCTTCCTCCCAGCAGCTCCAGGGTGCAAGTTGGACCACCAGGACAAGAGCCCACTTGCCTTCTGTGTTGTATATCTTCACCTGGCTGCTCAGCTCTGCCCCTCATTAAGTGGGGCGGGGAACATGGTACCACCCCTTGAATGGAGATGCCTCTATAAACGTGGTGGCAGTGGGGTGCTTTTTAGACCAGCGCCCACTTCTAGTATCTGCTACGGAATTTCAGGTAGATTATGAATTGGTGGAGTAGTATCACATCCAGCATCACTCAGGCACCCTACTTGATTCATTTAGGACTGCAGTATCTAATTGGAAGCAAAGTAGATTCTCAAAGTAGAGACATGGGTAGCCAGTTATCACGCCAGTGTCCCATGGCCTCTAGAGTTTCTTGTAGGATCATGGTCACCATTAACACAGTGCATGCCAGAAGGAATCATGGCAAACTTGACCTGAGATACTCATGTAGTCCTCGTGTTCCTTTTACTTAAAGAAATTAGACCATCATTCAGGAAGGGTATTGTTATGAACTAATGCATATCAAATTCACATGTTGAAGCCCCATCCCCAGTACTCAGAATGTGACTGTATTTGGCCGTAGAGTTGGATCCGCCAAGGAGCTACCCACATGGCGCCGCAGACCTCTCCTGCCTTGCCCGCTGCTCCCCTCAGCAGTGTATTTCAGCCAATCTGCCTGTTCTGTTCCCCGCACTGTCTCTGGTAGGTCCTCTCACCGTGAACACCTCTGGCCTGTACCTCAGTTCTTGTATGCATAAATGAATCTTTTTTAAAAAAGTGGAGCCTTTATAAGGAGTTGACTGTATTAAAATAAGGCCATTCGTAATGGTGGACCTTAATCCAATGTGCTTAGTGATTTTTTCTAAAGAGTTATTTATGCATAACGGATGACAAGAGCACAATAAAGAAGCATAATGAAGAGACTGGAAGAGGAAGAAATCAGAGGTTGGGTTGGTAAGTCGAGGCTACTGCATCAGGGCCGATGTTGGGGGAGGGGTTGATGTGGAGGGCCCCGGAGGGAGGACGCACGCGAGGGCACCACGGCTGGGGGGCGAGAGTGCGTATGGGGCGACGTGAGGTCAACGTGGGTGTCACGCGGAGCGGCGCCAGATATCCACGCAGAAGCGGTCTCCTGAGAAGCTGCTGTTGGCAGGCTTGGGGTCTCCACGTCCTCCCTCTGTGATCCGCGACGAGGTAGGCGACGCTCTCCAGCCTGGCGGGCTAAAGACAAAGGGGGAAGGGCCAGTTTATTGACGATAAATGCCTTAATGGGGAGCATGTGTGTCAGCAAAAGTAGATTAAGAGTCCTCTCAGGCCCTCTCCTCACGTTGGCCTTCAAACATGGCTTCTTCTGCTCCTGCCCCGCCCCCCCCCCGCTCCCGCCCCCCCCGCTCCCGCCCCCCCCCGCTCCCGCCCCCCCCCCGCTCCCGCCCCCCCCCCTCCCCCCCCCCCCGCTCCCGCCCCCCCCCGCTCCCGCCCCCCCCCGCTCCCGCCCCCTTTCCGCTGCCGCCCCCTTCCCGCTGCCGCCCCTTCCGCTGCCGCCCCCTTCCCGCTGCCGCCCCCACACCCCCGCCACGCCCCCACACCCCCGCCTCGCCCCCATACCCCCGCCCCGCCCCCGCCCCGCTCCACCCGCCCCCCGCCCCCACCCCCCACCCCCCACCCCCCACAGCCCCCTCACCTCCCCGTCCCCCCAGCCCCCCCACTCTCCCCCCACACACGCAGGCCTTTGTTCGGACCTGCAGCCTTTGGTTCTTTGGGAGCCACACATCCAGACTGTTGAGGTAGCACCCACTGCAGAGACAGACCACGCGGCAGAACCAGGTGTAATGCGTTCTCCCGTGAACGTCGAGAAACCCTGTCACCAAGACCCTTTTAGGAAAAATACTAAAGAAACTTTCCTTTCTTGTGCGCCGTGTTCCCAGCTTGAAGAAGGAGGGCGCCTCCCGCCGTCGCTATGGCAGTGCCCACGAGCATTTATCAGATCAGCTCCGCGCAGTTCGCTGCCCTGGAGGAGGTGCCGACTTTCCAGACGGAAGCGGTAGCCCCTCCGACCATGCCGCAGGGCATCCTGCTGCTCTCGCCGGACAGGCTGTGGAGTGCCCAGCAGCTGTCGGAAGAAGCCATCCGCAAGCGAGAGCTGAGGCTCAGGAAGAACAGAGAGGCGGCGCGCGAGTGTCGCAGGAAAAAGAAAGAATATATCAAGTGTCTGGAGAATCGCGTGGCGGTGCTCGAAATACAAAACAAGACCCTCCTGGAGGAGCTTAACTCCCTCAGAGATCTTCGCTGCCATAAAGCAGAGTGACTGTTTTTGACTTAAACCTTGTTTTCTGCCACTCTAGTCAAGGCAGGAGACGCAGCCGTTTTATCGATTGCCTAGAAAATTGTTCCACGTGAGTCTTGCGACCCTTTCGAGTTCCGTTTCATGTAGTGTCTGCACTGGAATTGGGAACGTTGTCCCAAGATTTGCGATGCAGCCACGGTCGCTTTTACATGCCTGTTCCCTCTGGCAATCAATAGCGTGTTTTGTCTTGTTTGCTCTTTTGTGTCTACTTTTTTGTTCAGATACACTGCTAGAGAATGTCCGAGTCGAAAGATACTATGTCCTATGTCTGGTGAGTGGTGTTGCACGGCTCAAAGTTCAGAACAGGAAGCTTAGGAGGAACCTGAAACTGTGCGCGATATTTGTTCTCCTAAAACAGATGAGTAGAAATATTTAACTTTGAACAGATGACAGCAAGTACCATTACTTTTGAGGGCGATACATTGTAGAACCAGCCAAAATTGTTGTTTTTCAGACTTTGTATCATTCATTGTACCCTCTCATCTCTAACATTCCTAAAATGCTTCACTGTATGAGATCATTCTTAGCTGTAACTTCATGTTTTTAAGAAATAAACTAAAAAATGTATGTCACTGGATCTTCAAATAGCGTTTGTAAGACTTGTTCCAGCGCCACTTATTCCCAATTCCCAATCTCTGTGTATCTTATAGTATCTTAGGCAATAACACGTTTTGCAGATCTTTTAAAAACCATAATAAAAACGAAATTTAAAATGGCAATAGTAAGGTCTTACTTACCAGTAGGAATCCATTTACTTAATTGTAAAAGGACTGAACTCACCAATCAAGAAGAGTAAGATGGCCAGAGAATACATAAGAATGATCTGATGATACACTGTCTACACTTTAGAATTAAATACACACGTTGGCTGAGAGTGAAGGGCGTGGAGAAGAACGTTATGCAGATGGTAACCATAACAATGCATACGTGGCTGTACTTATACCAAATAGACTCTAAATCTGTCTAGAGACAAAGAAGGTCATCGTATAATGATAAAAGGGCCTGTCAACTCAGCAGGAAGTTGTAACAAGTACATATACACCCAATAGCTGAACACTTGACTATATGAAGCAAATGTTGACAGGTCTGAAGGCAGAAATTGATAGCAACAAATAATAGTAAAGGTCTTCAATACTCTGCTTACAATAATGGACAGGAACTCCAGACAGAAAGCCAATAAAGGAACAACCGACTTGAACAACACTGTAAACCAAACGGACCTAACCTACAGAACACTCTGTCTGTGGCACAATACGCATTCTTCTCAAGTGGACACACAGATTTTCCATAATAGATCATATGTTAGGCCACAGAACATTTTTTTTTAAAGATTTATTTAATTAATTATTTATGCAAGCACTGGGTACAGTCAGAAGCGCGGGAGGTTGAGAGAATTCACCAGAGGCAGAGAGGGGAGCAGAGCAGGCAGAAGGACCGAAGTACACTGCTGAGGGGAGCAGCGGGCGGCAGGAGAGGTCTGCGCGCCGTGTGGGACCCTCCTCCGGTGGCCGGGGAGCAGCCGGGGATCGAACCGTCGCCACAGAGGCTGCGGGCAGCTTCGCAACCCAGTGTTCAACCGCTGCGCCACCGGGGAAGACCACACAGAACAAATCTTAACAAACTTAAGAAAATTAAAATCATTCCAGGTATCTATTCTAACTACAATGGAATGAAACTCGATATTAGTCACGGCAGGGAAATTGGTGGTTACCAGGAGCTGGATAGAGGGAAATTGGGGAGACTGGCTTAGGGTACAAATTTCAGTTATGCAGGATGGAGCAATTCTGGAGATAATGTGCAACGATGTGACTATGATAAAGCATTATTGTATGCTTGGGATTTTCTAAGAAGGTAGATCTTAAGTACTCTTGCACACACATGTGGACACACACACGGATAAGTGAAAAAAGATTGCTTTACAACATTAAATATCTGATACATAGACTTAAAATTCAGCATAACTAATAAAATTTGTTCCAATTTCTAAAAAAATGAAAAAAAAAACTAGCAATCTGAGGTGATGCACTTGGCTTTGCCCCAGGTGATTATTTTCTGGTATCCCAAAAGCCCATTTTTTATTTTTTGCAATGGCATTAAGTTCAAAATCTTTTCTCTTTAGAATCATATGAACATTATCAGAATGTCTAAAATAACATTTCGTATTGTGATGAAGCGTTCAATGCCAGCTAGAACAGCAAACGTTTCACTCTCTCACTCTGAAATTGTTCACGAGTTTTACTTTCTCCTTATTTGTCCTTATAATTTAAAGCTATTGCTGCAGCTCGCTTTTGTACAACAAAAAAGTTATGGCTTAAATTAGTTTATTGAGCTCACACGTCTGTGGTTTGGTAATTTGGGTTGGGTGCAGCTCACCAGTTTTTTTTTTTTTTTTTTGCTGGTCTTGGCTGGGATCACTCATGCTTCTGCAACTGTAGGGAATGCGTTGGCTAGATGTTGTCTCAGATAACAAGAGTGACTGGCTCTCATAATGCAGCAGACCAGGCTGAACTGACTTACGTGACAGCCAGGGGTTGTAGGAATGGCAAAAGAGCAAGCCTTGATGTGCAAGTTCCTTCCAAGCCTCTGTGCTATAGGTTTGCTAATAGGTCCAAGCAAGCCAGATGGCCAACCCAGGTGCCAGGAGTGGAGATGCAGAATCCGATTCTTGATGAGAGGATCTGCCATATCATATTGCAAGGGCAAGAATGCAGAAAGAAGAATAAAGTGGGGCCATTTTTTACAGTCTACCACAGTCCTCATTACATTCCCTACCCCTTCCTCCCTCACTCCACTTCAGCCGAACAGAAAGTTTCCTCAGAAATGGCAGGCGTGTTCTCCTCTCAGGACCTTTGCCAAACTGATACCTTTGCCTGGAATACTTTTCCATTATGTGGCTATGTCGCTATTCTTTGACTCCTAAGGGCTGACAATTTAACCTGAGTTCAGCTGGGAAATTCTTCTGGTCTTATCTGGGATCATGTGTCTGTGATAACCTGGCAGGTCAGCTGGTTGTCAGAAAGGTTTTGACTGCAAAGGTCAGTGACTACCCTGCAATACTTCTGATCCACCAGTAGACTAGCCTGGGCTTGTTCACATAGTAGAGGATTGGGTCTAAGTGCTCAGAGCTCATAAAAGCACACAGGAACTCTGGAGACTTCCACCCCATTCCATTGGTCAACACAAGTCATGAGGCCAATTCAGACTCAAGGATGGTGAAACACCGCTCTGCAATGGAAGTTCAAACTCACATTGCAAAGGGGCAGGGGTACAGGGAGGGTTGTGATCGTGGCCGCTCTTGCAACTAGCACACCCTAGTGTGCCCCTTTTCAACTTTTGGCTTCAAGACAATAGTCCTCAGCTTGGCAAAGTGTAGTTTCTGTTACTCTTTTATGCTGTCTCATATATTGTTTTACCATTTGGAACTTCTACTAGACAGCCATCCACTCACCTGTATCTATTCTCTACACTTCGCAACTTTTCTTAACTTTCCTCTCTCCACTCCTCCCCCAAACATTCTGAAAGCACACTTTACTGTGCTCTTCTAAACATCTAATTTAATATTCTGCTATGCTCCTTGTGCTATTTAGACCTTCTTTTGAATATTTTTTCTGTCAAGTATACTTACAGTGTTCACAAACTTTTCCTTATAATTGTACTTTTTTTCTCCACACAGTAGCTTATTCTGTTCTTTTATGGAAAAATGCCCTCTTGAATCTTTAGCTTCTGGAGGTTCTCCTAGATTATATTTCTTTTTTCCAAATATTGTTAGGAGTTGGCGCCTCAACTCCATCCGGGGTTCCCAAAAACTAAACGGAGCCAGAGATGCAAAAGCAAAAAGGCTTTATTGCTAGCTTAAGCTAGGGTCCGACTCTGCCTGGTGTACTGACTCAGCAGCCTCATCAGGTTGAGAGAAGGACCCCTTCAAGGGTGACAGGCTGTTTTTTATACCTTGTTGACAGCAGAAAAAGGGGACCTTTCATATCAGAAAAAGGGGACCTTTCACAACAGGGACCAAGTTCAATCTGATTGTGTATTTTTCTTTGGCAACCTTTAAGTTTTGTTTACCCTTGCCTTGTGATTCTTGTGGTTTTACCCTGAAACAAAACTTGGACTCAGCTGTACTCTTCAAAATGGTCGTCTTCCTTAAAATGGCTGCTGTCTTGCTATGTTTAGTCCTTCAATATCTTACAATATGAATGTATCATGGCTGAAGAGCTAATGTGAATTTATCCATAAATGTTAATATTCATAAATGGGAAATTATTGCAATGAAACCTTGATAGATTTGGATTTGCTCCAGAGAAATACCTTGGAATTAACCAAATTTATGTGTACTCCAAACATATAAACTATAGTTACAGGAACTATAGTTACACCAGTGCACATTCTTTCTCCTCCCCCCCACACACACACATGCACACACATACACACAGATTCTAAACTTGGAAGAGTATTAGGTATTAGTTGGGGGTCTACAAGACTCCTGACTCCAAGACTAACTCACTGATCTGAACCATCATTTCTTTGCCTTTGTGGAGATATTTGAATGTACAATCTCTAAGAGATCTATTTCTAACACACTGAATCTGAGATTTTTGTAATGTACCAGAATTTTCTGGAAATTCTTTGAAAAAGTAACAGGATTTTGGTTGCTGACTGACAACGGTTTTTTACTCTAGCAGTGTCTAACGGAACTCACAGGAGGGGATGCATGATTTTGTACAGTTCACATGCTTGGGCAAGCCTTAATCACTGCTTCCAGGAAGTCAATAATGTGCTAAACTAAATAGGACTTTCATCCAAACAGATAGACATGGTTTGTAATGGAATCTTTATACTATAAAGACTCCAACTGATGAGTTTGCACATTTCATGTTTACAAATGTTAACTCACAAATTTTTATTGTGGATAAGTATAAAAGTAAGTGTGCATTTGAAAAGTGATAGATTTTCTTTTTAGGAACTACCCCTGAATCACTGCTTTGGTTTTTATTTATTTTTTATTTTTTAAAAGATTTATTTATGCATACGAGAACTGGGGTACAGGCCAGAGGTGTGTGTGTGGGGGGGGTGAGAGAATTCACCAGAGACAGAGTGGGGAACAGAATAGGCAGATTGACTGAATACACTGCTGAGGGGAGCAGCGGGTGAAAAAGGAGAAGTCTGCTGCGCCATGTGGGTAGCTCCCTGGCCTGGGATTGAACTCATGCTGAAGTGGCTGCGGACAGCTTCATAGGTTTCATCTTAACCCCTTGCGCCACCAGGGAGGCCCTGCTTTGGTTTTTAGCAAATTCCTTTGTCCTCAACGCCTTGAGTCTTGTAAGAGTTCCCTGGTTATTGGAAATATAGCGCACAGATTCACAATCC